TGTAATTTGTTGTGCATTGTATTCTAAAATTAATTTTAATTATAATAATCCCTCCCTTCTCCATTAGTTGTCTCTATAGGGTTTGGCACAAGTTTTAAGAGGAAAATGATAGGAGTAGTGTAAAAGGTGTACTAGCTTCTGTTGAAATGAAAAAGTAGGAAAAAGAATGAGGGTAAATGAGTATATTTATTGAAAAAACTTTCCAAAAATGAAAAGAGGGACAAATATTAGAAAACTAACCCAAAATGGAAAAAGGAACAATTATTAGAGAATGGAGGGAATAATAGTAATAGCCTTTCACATTTTGGAGGCCTCTCACAATTTGGAGGCCCTGGGCACAAGCTTGACCAAAGTCCCCAACTGGTCATAAGGTCGGCTCTACGTTTACTTCACGGGTTACTAAACGGTGCTTAATAAGACTCATGTTAGTAAACGACGCATAAAATAAGCATTGTTGTATTATCATGTTTACCTCAAAGGGTTTAAGATACCGTTTAACATTAAAATGTTCAAAATAACCTTATGCATATATAGGCACAAAAATATTCATGAACACAAGTATATAATATAATATGTGGGGTCAGTACTCATACCCCTAACCCCTACCCCGCCCTATACCTTGTACCTCCACCCTACCCCTACCCCCAAATCCACACCCTTGACCCTATCCCTACCCTTACAACGACCTTACCCTCTATGCCAACTCCCCTACAACCATTCATACCCACCCTTACCCCTAACAACTACCCTACTCGTAGGAGTGAGGTCGGGTGGTGCGGGCCAGGGGTGGGGGTAGGATGGTGGTGGGGCCAGATCGGGGTGGGGGTGGGATAAGGTCGTCATAGGAAAAAGGGGTAGGGCGAGGTGGGTGGGGTAATGGTTGGGGGTAGGGTCAGGCAGGGGTAAGGTACGAGGATGGAGGTAATGGGTAGGGTGGGGTCGGGGTAGTATTTTTGGGGGTGGGTAGAGGGTAGCGGGAATATGATAAGAGTAAAGGGCAAGGGTAAATTCGGAAACTGAAAAAAGTTTAAAGTGTCGCTTAATTAATACACGAGGGATGATATGCTTAGTAAGCGATACTTTAAGCACCTCTTTCGGTTAGTAAACAGTTTTTTAAGTAGCGTGCGTGTTTACTTCACCTGTCTTACTAACCAAACTATTTAGCAGTGAAGTAAACACCTTCTAGTGCTCTTTTTGTTCAATCTTGAGTTCCTTGCCTATTTTAATGAAGGTTACATGAATTAATTTGGTTATTTAAAAGAGAAATCGACTTAAATAGGACTAAACGAGTTTGTATATTTCAAAATAAGTTATCATGTTTTCATTCTCTTAACAGAAGTAATTAGTGCAATATTTTAGCAGTACCAGACTTTAAACATGTAAGTATTTTTCATGTTTGACAACCATTACTCCTATTTAGAAAATAAAAAATATAGCAATCCTATTTTGAAATTCTGAAACATTTTTATTCCTGTTTTGGAAATTATTCTATTTAAAATAGTTTTATCTAATTAAAAATAATTATAATGACTGAATAGAAATTGTGTTACGGATTTTCCTTTTTATTACTCCGTATTACGGAGTATATTGCAAAAAATACCCTGGGCCCAACCTTTTTATTAGCTAGATTTGTTGTTGGTAGAAGCGTATGAGGGCACACCCTATTACAACATAAATTATTGTGTACATAATATTGTTACATATTCCCTCCGTAACATATATATATTCTCATTTGAAAAGTAGGTAGATTAAGAATAGTGAAAGGAAATGTAAATTATTGAGGGTATGATGGGAAGATAGTGAAATAATGTGATGGAATGAAGGATAAATTCAAAAAAAGTAGGTGTAATGGTGTATTATTTTTAAAATTATTGAGGGTATGATTAGAAAATTTAGAAATGAAAAAGATATGAATGTTACATCCAAAATAAGAAAGTGGGAAGATATGAATGTTACGGACGGAGTAATTTAATACTCCGTAGTACGTATTTACTTACATTTTGCTAGCCGTGGATATCTCCACTAGTTATATTGTAGCTATCACTTCGCATAGATAGACAGGTAGTTAGACGCTGAGGACAGATCGTATCAGGTCGCCCTGACGGGAACCGCCGTCAGGCCGAGGCCATTTGGGGACCTTCCCGGTGGAAGTTGTTGATGAAATTTTTTGAGCATGTTCCTCATCAAGTCTAGTTTATCCATACCAAATTTCAGCTAAAAATTCAATCGGGAAGGCAGTCAAAAAAATTCCCTACTAAAACTGTGCATTATTTATATATAAACTGCGCAGTTTTAGTAGGGAATTTTTTTGACTGCCTTCCCGATTGAATTTTTAGCTGAAATTTGGTATGGATAAACTAGACTTGATGAGGAATATGCTCAAAAAATTTCATCAAAAAATTCCACCGGGAAGGGCCTCTGATGGCCTCGGTTTGACGGCGGTTTCCGTCAGGCCGGCCTGACAGGATCGGGACTCGTTAGATGCTTATCTATTACTCCTTAGCATACAATGTATATTTAAATGGAGCCTTGATCTCCGATGAAGAATATAGAAAATCATTCCGTCTTCACGCTATAAGAGCCTAACTCAAACGAGCAAATTTTTTCTCTCTTCACTTCCATGGTAATCACCGAATCAACCAGTGTTGTTGCCCTCACGGCAACCACTAATTTTCCAATCAAACTTACTGCTTCCAATAAGATGTGGATTGAACTTAGCGCGTTACACCGTGTTTAGATGGTAACCACTAGTTTAGTTACTCCGTGTTTTTTTGGGCTTTTGGGCTGCACAAAATTAAAAATTTTGGGCTGAAAATTTGCCTACTCAAACATACTATAAAGAAATAATTCTGGACCTAAACTTTTTTCATTTTTTGGGCCTAGGGCCACCGCCCCCACCGCCCCCACCGCCCCACCTGCCCCCCCCTCAGGGCCACCCCTGCGAAAGATTGAATTACAAAAATCATACACTTAAAAAGTTTAATACTAAAATATACTATAGTTTTGCATTCGAAATTACAAACCATACAAAATATTGAAAAATACAATTTCTTTCTTGTGTAATAAAAAATGGACTTTTTAACTGACAATTTCTCTCTCTAATCTTTTTTAGTTGCAACATTCCTTTTTTCACGTTTGTCAACAAACAACTTTGATCGTCATTATATTTAATTATGTTTTAGTAAAAAATAATTTAAAATCAGATCATGAAACTTAACAATGAGATGAATTCAACCATATTTTCAAAAATAACATTTCACATTAGTTAATAAATAAGATGTAGTCAAAGTAGAGGACATGAATAGTGTATAAATTACAATGTTGCAGCTAATACGATACGGATGATAGTATTATACATGAAGATGTGTTTCTATTTATTTTCATAACTTTTAATACCCTGACATGCATTTTTAATAATTCTTATAATTGTTTTATTGATTACTACTAATCCCAAATTCAAAATTGTTACGTAGTAGTATTAGGGGTGGACTCGGGCCGGGCGGCCCGGCCCGGAACCGGCCCGGCCCGCCCACTGTAGCAACCGGCCCGGCCCGGTGGCCCGGTCCAACGGCGGTTCGGGTCGAACCGGCCCGGTGGATACCGGTTCCGGGCCCGGGCCCTCCATTTGGTGAACCGGCCCGGCCGGTTCGGGCCCGGTTCGGGCCGGAATTATTTTATTTTATTTTTTGAATTTTTTTTAAGTTTTGGGTTGGATTAGGTATTTTGGGCCATTTGAGATGGTTTGGGGTTGAGGGGGAGGGATAGGGGGTTAAATAAGAGAAGCAAAAAAAAAATATATGACCCGGGTGGCCCGGCCCGGAACCGGGAGCCACCGATTCGGGTCCGGGCCCTCCTTTTGGTGAACCGAGGCCCGGCCGGTTCAAGGCCCGAACCGGGCCTGGCCCGAACCGAGTCCACCCATAAGTAGTATACTTTTACTTCAGCTCTACCCATTAATATAATTAATCATAGATTCGGGTCGGGCCGCCCGGCCAGGAACCGGTACTATTTGGGCCCGGCCCGGTACCCAGTTATAGGACCGGACCGGGCCACCCGAACCCGGAATTAATCGGGCCGGGCTCGGGCCTCCTAAAAGTGGAACCGGCCCGACTTATATATTTTTTTTTTTGGTTTTTTCAATTTTTTTGGTTTCTCCCGAGTTGGTCTGGGTGTTTTGGGGGGGTTGGGGGTGGGCGGTGAGGGGGGGGGGGGGTGTCGGGGGTTAATTAGAAAAGCAAAAGAAATATAAAAAAAATAACATGAACCGGCCCGGAACCGCTGACTACCCGGGCATTTGAGGTGTTAAGGAAGTAATTATTAACACTTCATAACACTTATTAACACTTCTTAATTTTCTCCCAAACAAGTGTTAATATCAACACTTACTAACACTTCCATTACTAACACTCCTCAACACTCAATCCAAATAGTCGAGTGTTTCGTTGACCATAACATTTGGACGTTGTTCTCATATACATAGTACATACTTCGTATTAGGCTCTAACCAGAATAAAGAAGATGCGCAAATAAGAGTAAAACAGAAAAAATTATATTTTCAGTTGTTTCAGCTGAATTAACTCTAATAAAAGAGTGATTTTATTTTCAAAAAACATAGACAAGATTCTAAAATTGGAACAAATATGTTTCCCGCCAAAACAGGACTTATTTAGTCCTATTACAATAATAGACGTATATATAAACTTGTCTTAATAGAAGTTAATGAATCCTATTTTGGGAAGAAAGCACGAGTAATTTCATTTGATAAATTTTGCTATGTTTAAGCTCGCAAAGGAATTTTTCTTTAAACAATATAAGGGCGGTTTCCTATGTTAACTAAGTTAGACTCAACGTTGGACTGAGTTCGGCATCAGTTTTGTCTCTGGGCTATGCATGAAGACAAAATTGAGTAGTAACCATACACATTTACAGAAGTCACAAGGTGTGTAATTGGGCTTCGTTTGGTTTTTGGCGTATCAAATGATCCAGACACGCCATAAAGTGCACATATAAAGGCATTAATTGAGGCTACACAAAGATTTTAGAGCAATAATTAAGGTAAAAAATAATTCAGTGTGATGGTGTATCATTTTGAAAGAGAGAATTGGTAGTACATTGTACACAGTAAACTGAATTGGTTAACACAATTAACTAAACACAGCTGAAAGAGAGTTTGTGTAATTGTACACAGTAGATGCCACAGATGAGAAAGTCAGTCTGGGCCTTCTGCTAAAAATAATCTTGAAGCATAAACATCCCCTCGCCCTCCTATTCTTCGTCACTTTCATTGCCAAAGGCTGATGCAATGGATACTTTCGGTTTCTTTGCCATGTTGCCGACCACGTTCTTCTACAATATCAAAAGCCATGGAATTATATATCTTCATTCATCAGCAAGTCATAAAAAACCTAATAGTGCAGATTCTTCCCATAATTTCAGAATATCTCAGAGGGAGATCTCAAACAAGAAAGGGAATACTCAATAAATAAAACCATACTTTGATTCGATTTCAGGAAATCAATTTTTTTTACCTTAGAATGGCTGCCCTTTGCTGAAAACCCAAACTTCAATGCCTTCCTTTGATCTTGCTCAGCAAGGACAGTTGCTGTTCTCGCCGCATGGGAGGCCTGAATGGTCTCTTCTTGCTCCTGCTGCAGCTTCTTATTCGCACCAGCCCTAGTTAAATACAGAAATAATAGCATCAACATAAAAAATATGTGAGGGCCAGCTTGGTAACTCCTATCTGGCTAAAACTACTTTGTTCGCTAAGTTTTCTAAAATGAACACATCTGGTAGCATCCATTTCAGCAACAAAAGTAAGACAATAGCAGGATAAGCAGAAAATACATACTCAAGCCCGGTAAGGCTTGAGTATGAAGAATAAAGTATTCATTATCCAAAAACAAGTAATGAGAGAAAAAGGAAAGATTCCTGGAAGCTTAAAGAAGGGTAGAAAGCGAGGGTACATTTGAGCAAATTTTGCCATCTCTTTCTCTTGGCGTTGTTGCTCTCGTTTTTGTCTATCATCACGACTGCTACTTCCATGCATTTCTCTCATATCTTTGAAGCGCTGCATATAGGAATGTCAATAGATTTTTTTAGAGAGGAAGAAGGCTAAGAGTCTGTTTGCAACAGCTTCTGCTTTTAAAAACGTGCTTTTTTCAATGAAATGGAGATAAGTGATTAAATAAAAGTTGATAGTGTTTGAGAAAAAAGTGATTTTGAAAAGTAAAAGTGGGTAGTGTTTGGTAAAATAAGTGCTTTTTGTGTAATAGAAAAAGTAAAAGCACTTTTGACGCGGAAAATAAGTGCTTTTTTAAAGCCAAAAGCTGAAAAGTGCTTTTTTAAAAGCAGTTGCAAACCAACCCTAAGAAACAAATAAAGAGCCTGTTTGGGATGACTTTTGAATCAGGATTAGTTGTAAAAGTACTTTTGCATAATTCCAGGAGTATTATTAGATGCTTTTATACTGAAATAAACACAAACAATTCTACTGAACCCAAAATGGTCCTTTTCAAAATACAGGTATTAATTTGGGAAATTCGTTTTCAAAGTTACCCCAAACGGGAATAAACCAGATGTATGGAGGACAAATAAAAAAATCAAATCAACCATCGAACTACCTTTCTATGGTTGTGGTCGTATGAGCTAAGGTGAGCTTCAAATTCCATTGCCAATTTATATTGCTTGTTGCAAAGGTCACAAAAGAAAACCTTGCGTATTTCCTTCACCTCGGTTTGAATTTTCTGCTCCCGCTCAGCTAAAACCTGGATTTTCATAATGTGCAGGAAGCAAGGCAGTAGAAGCCACCAGGGTAATAAAAACTGCACGAAATTCTCAAGACCCTTCCAGAACTTGGTGTTCGGTATTTGATATACCATCCCCGTCAAAAGACACGCACATATATGCTATATGCTGCCTTCTGTTGTTAGATGTATGTTTCAGAAAAAGTAAAATATCAAACTCGATTTTTCTACCATGCCGCAACATATTTATTACCCTTACTTATGTTCTACAAAACCATACCTCCCGTTTCTTTGCAAGTTCTTCTGTCACCTCAAGCTCTATTTCAAGCTTTCTTCTCTGTATGTTTTCTTCTGATGTAAAGTAGTCATCTTCCTCTTGCTTTCCAATTCCTAATTTTGCATCTCGTATTCCAGACTTTATTGGCTCAATGATACCTTCAAACAAAAGTTTAAAAGTCAAAAGTTTAAAGTTTAAGTAGCACTTGAATTATGAAAAATAATATCTGTGACCCCAGGTCTTCGTTAAAGTATTAAAGATGAAAGAATATTTTATATAATCTTCAAGAAACATTCAATTTTTTAGAGATCAATAGGACCTTTCAATGAAGTAATTGTTGTTGGAGTGCAAAATATGAAGAATTGTTTTTCACGATTGGTTAATTTATGAAAATCAAGAAGAATACTTTCCTCGCATTAATGCTTACATGTAACTCTGAGGGATGTGGTTAGCACGACTCTTGAGTTACACCCCAACAGTTTAAAATAAGAATATATACATTGGAATAAATTTGAAGGTGCATAAATATAGTAATACTTTCCAGGTCGTACTGGGAACAAGTATACCTTGCTCATCTTTTCCAAGTCCCTTTCCTTTCCACCCCATTTTCTGGAGAAGCCTGAACCCGACATTGGTTGATGTCAATTGTTTATCTAATGATGCTTGCTCAACATTTTCTAGATCCAAATTTTCAGTTGGTCTGTGCCCAATTGGTAGACGAAAGTCTTCTATGAGGTCCTCGAGAATAGAATCATTATCATCCTATGTGAAGAAAAGTAGTGTTCAATGGTATGACATAATATAACTGAGACTGCCTAACCACAACTTATGTGTTGTGTCCCAGTATGACACAATATTCAAAGGAATAAATTCCATTTTTGGTCCTACTAGTGTTGCATCAATTCCATAATTGGTCCATGTCTTTGACCACTTTTGGTACATAACTATTGCCCATAGATGGTCCTTATGTCAATATTTCTGGCGATTAAAATCGCCAGAGGCATCGAAAAGTTGGACGGAAGGACCGCGAACAGTCAAAAAACATTAGTCAAGCACCAAAAGTGGATAAAGTGAAAGACAAGGACCATATATGAAATTGACGTAAAACTCATAGGACCAAAAGTGGAATTAACTCATATTAAAACTATAGCATACAGTTTCAGTAGAACTAGAAAGCAAAGAAGTTATTGTAGTAATTTTTATTTATCTAGTATTTTGTTTCACACAGCAAATCAAGTCCACCATCATTACCCCAGTGCCGCAAAGGCTCCCACCTACGGTGGGTAAGGGGGGTCGGATGTACGCAACCTTACCCCTGTACTAAAGCACAGAGAGGCTGTTTCCGGATGACCCATGGTGAAAATTACGTCGACCATTGCATGGACTGACTGCTACTTTACTTAATAACCACTCTGCTCTTCTTTGTTATGAAGCAGCAGTCAGTCCATGCAATTTTGGACGCGATTTTCATTATGGATCATCCGGAAACAGTCTCTGTGCTTTAGTACAGGGGTAAGACTGCGTACATCCGACCCTCCCTTACCCCACCGTAGGTGGGAGCCTTTGCGGCACTGGGGTAAATGATGATTGATTGAGCAAATCAAGTCCATTTTAGTTAAGGAGATGAAATTAAGAATTAATGTAGTGGAGAGAAGTAGCATCAGCTAAGGTAAGATATACCATAATTGTAATTTGGTGTGCTTTTTATTTATCTAGTACTTTGTATAGCAAAACATGCCTGAAGGAGATTATTAAAAATAACGAACAAAAGTAACACCAGCTAAGGCAATCTGTGCCATATTGAAAACTGTAGAAAGAAAAACCGAGAAAATATCAATGGACATATTTATAATAATAATCATTACCCCAATGCCGCAAGGGCTCCCACCTACGCACTACGGTAGGATAAGGGAGGGGTCGGATGTATGCAGTCTTATCCCTGTACGCAATCTATTATGAGCATGCAAATTTGAAATGAAATTGAATAACTTTAATTAGGAATTAAGAAAAAAAAGATATGTTCATAAAACACATCACACACAAGAACTTGAATACTTCTGTGTGTTTGAAACAATTCTATGAAACATAAAAGAGTGTTACTTGTTGCCCCTAAGTACTTTGTTAATAACACAAAGATAAACTACAGTGCTGTTTCCAAAATAAGAAGCTCAATCATAAAACGATAAAAGTATTAGAAAGTAGAGGCCAAGAGAAATGTGTGTTTTACCTCACCATGCTGTTGGTTAGGATGATGGACCCCCATTTCACCATCAAACCATCTACTACCCATTTGCTTATTGTCCCAAATTACAACTAAACAAATAACCAAAACCAAAACAAACACTTTATTATTCAGAAACAGGAGAAATCCAATTCAAAGCTAATAAATAAAGATAGTAACAGGCCAACAACAAAATAAAAAAATTATTCCTCCTAACAATTTTGTATTTACCAGGGAAATACAAGCAAAGAAATTTTTTTTTGTCTCTTTACACAATACGGAGTTTCGTTTAAGAAATCTTCACTTAATTCCTAATAATAAACTCAGTGCAACTTGTCATCAGAAATCCAGGGATAAAGACAACTTTATGATAAATTTTGGACAACGCAGTTCACATATACTCTGCGAACTTAATAGAATCAAAACATACAACGAGCCACCAAAAATACAAAAAACTGATGTATTCGCTGTTTAAACCTGATTCCAATTAGGGTTTCTTTTAATACAATTGGGAGACATAATAATAAATATCAGCAGGGATGGGAGACAAGAGAAAAATCACTTGTATGGATGGTATCAGCAAGGAAATTACCGGGATAAGAGCATGAGGCTTTGAGGATGAATTATTCCCCTGCAGTAATCTCTGGAGCTCGGTGTCCGTCTTGAGTTTGGACCAGACGAAAATTATTGGATTTTTTCCGAGTGCTATTTTGTTCAGAGGACTCGGGTGCTATTTTGTTCAGAGGACGATGGTCTCCCCGTTATCTGGGAATTGGGAATTTGGGATATGCCAATTCAATTTCTTTATTCGATTAACTGAAAATCGCACTTTTAATCGAGTTTTTTTTTGAAATAATGTTAATTAAATAAATAATTCCCAAAATACTGTTGAGTTAAAAATAATTCCCTAAATACTGCTGGGTTAATCGTGGTTAAGAAAAGCCGCCACTTGAAGTGGCGGCTCTTCTCTTACAGTACAAAAGCCGCAACTTCAAGTGGCGGCTCTTCACTTACAGTGCAAAAGCCGCCACTTAAAGGAGAAAACAGTCGATTTAGTACCTCAAGTTGCACCGTGTGGAGTAAAGAGTACCTGATCTTGAAAATCAAACGGGTTGGTACATGATTTCGTCTAACTCGTGCTTAATGAGTACTTCTGCAAACTTCCCGTTTAAAAAACCAACGTGTCAATTAATCCCCGTTTGTTTCGTACACGGTGGAAGGCTAGTCAGCAAGCACCCATCCCTTCCATCATCCCTCTTTAATACATAACCCTAAATCCGAAATTCAAATGCCCATCTACCCAATCGAAGATTGCATCGTCTGGAGCATTGCTGGTCTTCGATCGAGGAGCTGTTCAGGTTTTGAATTTTTTTAATTCTTTCTTATGTAGCTTTGAATCGTACTTGAGCGTTGATTCGTTGTACAAAAACTTGTTCTTGTACTGATTTATTTCTTTAATCGAATTCCAAAGATAATTTGGGTGCAACCGAGATGGCTTATGGAAAGTGTGGATGTGGGATGCCTGTGAAACTGATGACGTCCTGGACAGATGACAATCCAGGGAGACGGTTCATTGCATGCTCAAGAGTAAGGGTATAACAATGATTATAGTTTCTGTTTTTTTTTAGAATTTTGATTGATTTTTCTCCAATGTTATTACTCAAAATAGAGTATAGGTGGCTGCTGCAACCTGTTTGAATGGATTGATCCTGAAATGTGTGCAAGGTCCAAGCTCATTATACCAGGTCTTTTGAGGAAAATAAACAAGCTACAGGCTATGGTTGATGAGGCACATGCAGTCAAGAATAAACAGAAGATGTGGCCTGTGAAATGGTTTATCATAGGAGGAATTGTGCTGATACTGGTGTTGGTGATATGTTTTGGCAATGAAAAGAAGAAGGTCTTAGAAGACCTGTAGTGGTTTATGATCAATTGTAATCCATGTTCCTAGTTTGCAGGTGTTTCTAGTTAGAAGACATGTAATCCTTAGTTTTATGTTGTAAACTTGTACGGGTTTATGCCCAGTTCTTAGAAGACCTTGTACTACTTATTTAGTATGGCTCTTGAATGCCATTTAAGTTTGAAATTTGGTTAATGATGTATGACTTGATGTTAATCACTTTAAATTGATGTGAATCATTAATGAATTATGGTTATGTAGTTTGTGTTTTGAATGCCATTTAGATTTGTACCCGATTAATGATGGACACAATTTATGCACAGATGAGTCTTGGAGCAAGGCCATACTTTAGTTCATTACCATTAAAGCATTGAAAGTACCCAGATAAGCATTGAAACTACCCAGATAGCAAGTGAACTTAATACGAATGGCTGCAATATATATGAACATTGGCTGCAAACTGAAACTCCCAAACTAACACCTCCAGAAATGAGCACAAGCAGTTTTCTACATGCTTAATTAATGCTTTTACACATCATTTCATAGCATTTATCACCAGTAGCACATTATCAGTACTTCAAAACATACATCAAGTACACAAAAGCATAGACACCACACCCCAGACATATTAGGGCAAAAAAGGAGTAGGTAGAAATGTGTAAACACCAAACCCCACACACTAGCCTTCTGCTCCCACACACCACAAGTGTGTCAAAAAAAACCAAGTGAAGGGAGATAGTTTAAACAAAAGGAAGACTTATATACAAAAATAACCATGCATTAACATTTTGCAGGTATCATCAACTACACTAGACTTCAGAGCCTTCTTCCATGCTGTCAAACAAAGTGTTGAATCTCTCTCTAGCCGTTGTGGACACCCCGGTAGCACTCAATGAACTAGCATTTCTTTTTCTTGAATTCATGGCCTTCTCTTTGTGCTCCTTGTGGTTCCTATCCCGCACTCTCTGATAAAAGAAAAGAAATAAAAAATAATAAGGAATGTAGCATTTTACTAACCAAAGTACATTGTCTGTAAAAACATAAAACCAAATACCACTTTAATGGGTTATATACCTCCAGACCACCAGACGTAATTGAGTTTTGGCCCCTCCACTGAAACACATTATCGGTTGGTCTGTCATCCCTATCTGCATTTTCACTAAAGTATGCATGCAAAGTAGTATCATCAACATTACTCTCCTGGGGAGGTCCGGAACCCCTTTCTTCACTTGCCTGCAAAAAAATACCACTTAATCCTTTTTTAAATGTAGTATTCTAACATCAAACACACTTTTACATAAACACATCACATTGATCCAATTTACCTGGTTAGAGTTATTCTTCATGGGGAACTTGTTCTGGGAGTGTCCTGTTTGGGAGCATACAACACATCTTTTTGGATTCTTTGAAGTACCACTTCCACCTTGTAGGTCAATAGGGAATGTTGTATCCCCTTGCAAGATTTGGTCTTTGGAGGGACACCCTTTTTTGTTATGCCCTTTTTTGAAACACAACTGACATGTAATGCTTGTTCCTCTTTTTGGTAACTTTCCACTCCTAGGGATCTCACCTATTTCTTTGATTCTATTTTTTCTTGGCCTCCCCATTTCTTTTTTTTTCAACTCAGCAGGCAACACTTCAACATTTGTTTGAGGCCAGAAAAGAGGCCCAGCAATAGGTGTCATCGTCTCAGCATAAGTATGCAAGTACATGTGTTTCTTATACCACGTACATACATAATCTTCTATTCTATGCCCTTTATCCCTAATGGCACATATGGCGTGTTTGCAAGGGATTCCAGACACATCCCATTGCTCACACAAACACCTTCTGTTCTCCAAATCAACTAGATAGGTGTCTGACCCACAAGAGACCTCATATCCATCAGAACCATTAAATAACACCCTCCACTTATTACTTGACTCAACAAATTTATTTATCCTTCTCCTTATTCTAGGACCTAAATCTCCAACCCATTTGTCACCTAGATTCTTGTTCTTAATAAGCCTCTGCATCACCAACTTTCTTATGTACTCCAACTGCGTATACCCAAACAAAGATCTAGCAGGAACTATGACCCCATTAAAAGCCTCACATAGATTGTTATCAACAGTTTCACATTTTATATCCCTATTGAAGAAAGCTCTACACCAAAATTTAGGGTCAACCTTCAGAATATCTTCATGACCAGTTAGAGAAAGAGCTTTAAGTACCTCAAGGTTCTGGTCAAATTCTCTTTTAGAGGCAGATTTGCAGCACTTCCAAAACTGCCTTTGTAGCTCCAGACCAGGATGAGCTCTTCTCCAAATAGCATATAAGTGCCTAGCACATCTTCTGTGTTCAACCTCTGGCAATGTCTCATATAATGCTGGGAGTAAACCCTGTAATGAAATGTAAATTATTATACATTAAGATATTGGTTAGAGTCTAAAAGTTATGATAAAGTTATAGTCTGGAACCTAAAAAATAAATTATCATATAGTTAAAGTCTGCAACCTAAAGTTAAATTACCTCTTTCTTATATAGTCTGGAACCTAAACTGTAATTATCAAATTAAAGTTAAAGTCTCAACCTAAAGTTAAATTACCTCTTTGTTATATAGTCTGCAACCTAAACTTAAATTACCTCTTTGTTATAGTCTGAAACCTATACTTAATTTAGCAAACTAATAGTCTGAAACCTAAAGCTAAATTATCTGTTAGATAATGTTTGGAACCTAAAGTTCAATTATTATAAAGTGAAGTCTGCAACCTAAATGTAAATTATCATAAACTTAAAGAGTGGAACCTAAAAGTTAAAGTCAATACTACTACCTTTTGTTGATCTGAAACAAAAGCCCATCCATTCCCTCTCCCAATGTTTAGATCATCTCTTAAGTTTTCTAGAAACCACTTCCAAGTGGCTTTGGTCTCAGATGCAACTACAGCCCACGCTATTGGGAACATTTGATTGTTTGCATCCCTTGCAACTGCAGTGAGTATCTCACCCTTAACCTCAGACTTCAAGAATGCCCCATCTATTCCTATGAGTCTCCTGCACCCCTCCAGAAACCCCTTCTTGCAGGCATGGAAGCACACATAAAACTTGTCAAATATAGGGCTAGGCTGCAATAGAGTGAGGATGCAGGTATTTCCTTGGTTTGACCTTTGAATTTCAGCCCTATAATCATCCAACCTTTTGTACTCAGCCTTTATGTCTCCCTTTTCAAGTTTTCTAATCAAAGATTTAGCCTTCCTCATTTGCTCAAGAGAAACATCACAATTCAGCTCCTTCTTTACCATCTCTTTCATTGAAGCCACCTTCATGTCAGCTACACCGGGCTTTGAGGAGAAAAAATTCTTGACTAACCATTTGGCTGTGGCACTGGGTATTTGCCACCCCGGGTTGCAAGTGTGGTCACTCTGATATGTTTTGAGGACCCACTTGTTACTGCTACATCTACTGTCTATGCCAAAGTAGGCCACCCAACTACATGTTTTGTTCAAATTTGAACACTTAGCCCTAAGCTTGTCTGAGCAATTTTTGGCCCAATAGAAGGGATACCTGTTAGTCACAGAATATTTGTCCACTGCATCTTTAACTTCACCCTTCGACTCAAAGCTCATTCCCAATGTGAAGTCAACCTTGTCAGTTGGTATGAAACTTGGGAACCTAGATTTTGTTCTAGCAACCCCTTCTTCTTCAGGATCTGATCCGGATTTGTAACTCCCTTCATCACTTGAACTGAAATATTCAGTTTCATTGCCATCTTCTTCCTCAGTCAACCCTTCTTCAGTTGTCTTTCTTTTACCAGATTTCTGCCCATTAGTTCTGCCAGTACCTCTTTCTTTTCTTACTAGATTCCTCAATAGAACTCGACCTTGTTGTAACTCTTCATCATCTTCATTTTCTGAGTTTACTTCATCTATAAATAAAAGGCCAGCTTCTGCCTCAAAAAGGGGATCTTCAAATCCCAAATCAACAGCATAAGGCACGTGTGTAGCACTGCCAGTTTGTGAGTCACCAATTGGAGTCCCTCTTTGGTCATAATTATCCATGGATTACCTATTGCAAATTAATTATATAGAACAAGTCACCAACCACAATTAAATGACATGAAAACAAATATCTGTCCAACTATCCTATAAGTTAAAGTGAAAAGGCAATGTTCTAATCTATTTTACTCACAACACTTTACTCATACATTTCAACATTTTCAGAACACTTTACTAATATGTTTCACCATTTTCAGAACACTTTACTCATAATACCATCAATTTTTAAATACACAATGTGCATTGAAGTCATATCTAACCTCACACCTATCAAATGGTATTAACTTCAACATAATAAACATAATACAGAACACAACATACGCCATAAATGATGCACCTGTAATACAGTATCATACCTTTATTGAAATGGTAGTTATTCTTCCGCTTTTGGCTTTTCGCAGCTAACCTTCTCACTTCATCGGTCCGTAATACAAGAAGGAAGAGCGTAAGAATGGTAAGCATTAGGGCTACTCGAGTAATGGTGCAGTTGGGAGAGATGAGGTGGCTTTTTTTTTACACATCACATGTACCATTAGCCACATCAGCAAAGGTAACGGTGCCATCTAACAGAGGTACCACACTTGCACGGGTTAGACAAAATCATGTACCAATCCGTTTGATTTTCAAGATCAGGTACTCTTTACTCCACACTGTGCAACTTCAGGTACTAAATCGACTGTTTTCTCCCACTTAAAGTGGCGGCTCTTCTCTTACAGCATATTTTGTACATATATAAAATGCAGTATGTTTCAAGAATTTTTTTAATTATCTTTCCGATTGAATTTTGAGTTGAAATTTTGTATGAATAGACTAGACTTGATGAGGAACATGCTCAAAAACATTTCATCAACATATTCCACTGGGAAGATCCTCTGGTGGTGTTGTCTGCACGGGGGTTCCGGTCAGGACGTCGTGACAGGAATAAGACATTTTTATGAAATTTGAGGTGCTTCCGAGTTGATTTTGTTGATGAGTATAATGATTTTCTAACAATAAATAAATGCCAGAACCGGCCCGGAACCGCTGCCTACCCGGGCCGGTTCTCCCTTCCCCAAAAAAAGCTCGGCCGAGCTCAGGCCCGAACCGGAACCGGCCCGGCCCGGGTCCATCACTACTCCACCCTGACCCCATCCCCCAACCTACCCCCAACCCATTCTGCCCCAGCCCCTTACCTACCCCCTACCCCTTTACCCCCTACTACCTTCCTCTAACTCGATCCCACCCGACCCCTACTCATCCTACCCTACTTACCCCACCTCCACCCCACCCCATACCTCTTCCCTACTCCGACCCCACTCTTTTACCCCACCATCCACCCGCCCCTACCTCGACCCCATCCCCCACCTACCTTAACCCCCTAGCCCTTACCACCCCTAACCAACCCCCCTTACCCCACCCCTTTACCCAATACCACATGCCCCTACCTCAATCCCAACCCCACCCCTAACAGGTAGGGGTTACGAGGGGAATAGGGGCAGAGGATAAGGTCGTGGTTAGAGTAGGGGTAAGGAAGAGGTAGGGGTTAAGGTTGTGGCGGAAGGGTAGGGTGGGGTAGGGGTTAGGGTACATCCACATATTATATTATGTACTTGTGTTCATGAATGTTTATGTGTCTATATATGTATAGAGTTATTTTGGACATTTTAATGTTAAAGGGGTGTTTTAAATCTTTTGAAGTAAACATGTTCTTATTACAACACTACTTAATTATGCGCCGCTTATTAATGCGAGTTTTAATAAACACCGTTTAGTAACCCGTGAAGTAAACGTGTTCTAAAAGTTGTCAGCTATCAATGAGCCATTGATAAAACTTAATTGAATCTCGGATTTTAGTATGATGATATTATCTAAGGACGCCATAGGTGAACCGAATATTTCTCGAAAAATTTCACCAGGAAGACCCTCTGATGGTGTTGTCCGCACGGGGGTTCCGATCAGGACGTTGTGACAGGAATGAGACATTTTTATGAAATTTGAGGGGCTTCCGAGTCAAGTTTTTTGATAAAATTTGGTGATCGTGTCCATCTTAAAGTGTAGGTTATGTCCACTGAATTTCAGATTAAAATTAAATCAGAAGTTAGTTAAATAATTTATTGAAAAAAGCTGCATTTTTAGGCCGAAAAAATTATGCATTTTTTAAAAACTTATTTAACTAACTTCCCGATTTAATTTCAATCTAAAATTTGGTGGACATATCTACATTACATGGGAACATGCTCACCAAATTTTATCAACAAATTCGACCCGGAAATAGCTCAAATGAAATAGGCCTAAAAATTGCAACTTTTAGACCTACTTTACATGAACATTTTCAGAAGGCATGAGACAAAATTTTTGCCAAGAAAGTTTTAGAAATTATGCAACTATATCGTTTGTTATTTCCCAGAAGCAATATTTTATAATTTCTTATTATTTCATATTTGTTGATAATTTGCCCATAGGTCATCATGTTTTAGCTGCATGTGTTATATATGATATGCATTTCCATTTTTACATTACTTTGAGCATTTCTATCAATAGTTTGTATGTTGTAGGATTACACATGCTTCTCTAGATTACAGAACTTGAATTTACTGTTGCCTTCCAAACATGAGCTCAAGTGAATTGCACAAAACTGTGATTCTGCAATTGGAACTTAGAGCAATAGTTGATACGAGTGTTGAAACTGTTTCCAATGGCCATAAACTGCCCAAATAGAGTTCATATTTATTTAGCAAGTGGAAGAGAAAGAATTGTTTGTTAAGGGCATAATGATGGCGATGATAGCTCGAATTCGAAGTTGGTTCCTTTCAATTGGGAAGTTAGTTAAACAATTTTTTTTGAAAATTTGCACAATTTTTTAGGCCTAAAAATGCATGCTTTTCAATAAATAATTTAACTAACTTCTTGATTTAAATTTAATATGAAATTCGGTGAACATAACCTACACTTTAGAAAGAACATGATCACCAAATGTCATCAACAAAATCAACTCGGAAGCACCTCAAATTTCATAAAAATGTCCTATTCCTGTCACGACGTCCTGACCGGAACCCCCGTGCAGACAACACCACCAGAGGATCTTCACAGTGGAATATTTTGATGAAATATTTTTGAGCATGTTCCTCATCAAGTCTAGTCTATTCAGACAAAATTTCAACTCAAAATTCAATCGGGAAGATAGTTAAAAAAATTCTTGAAACATACTGCATTTTATATATGTACAAAATATGCTGTAAGAGAAGAACCGCCACTTCAAGTGGCGGCTTTTCTTAACCACGGTTAACCCAACAGTATTTTGGGAATTATTTTTAACCCAACAGTATTTTGGGAATTTTTTATTTAATTAACATTATTTCGGGAAAAAACTCCTTTTAATCCATGAAAAAGTTATGAAATTGAAATGTCAGACCTGTGTTCCTAAGCGTGTAAATGTCATCCCTCAATTACCCAAAATGTTGTAAGTGTGGTCTTTGAGGGGTGAAATATACAATCTGGGCGAGAGTACATTTCACCTCTTAAAAGACATCATTTACAACAATTTGGACAATTGAGAGGTGACATTTGCAATCTTAAAAATACGGGTCTGACATTTCATTTTGGTGACTATTTCAGGGACTAAAAGTGTAATTTTTTCTTCATTTAAATGTTATACTTTCAATTTTAAGGTTTTTCATAAAATATTATTGATAAAAAAGTTATGGACAAAAATATGATGTACTACCTCCGTCCCGTTGGAAGGTTTCCATAGCAAACGACACGATTATTTAGACAATAATTAAATAAAGTACTTCGAGTATATTTTGAGAAATAATTTTAATAGATATATATTATAATGTAGTTAGTATTGATAACCGTGATGTTATAAATGTATTATTTTAAATATTTAATGATTAATTTGTCAATTAAGATTGTTAATTGTTTCCTAAAATGGAAATGAGAACCTTTATATGGGACGTCCAAAAAAGGAAAGTGGGGATCTTCTAATGGGACGGAGGGAGTAATAATTATGTTATTAGTGATTATAATTATTTTAAAATCTACGTCATAGTTACTAAATCATAGAAACTTTGAGTACAATTATAGTTAGGGCGGAGGTAGAGGGGGCCAATGGGGTCAGGCCCATGCCATTTTTTTTGTACTTTTAATGTAAAAATGTATGCGTAAAGTTTATATAAAAAATATTTATACCGGCCCATCCCAAACTTTGATCCTGGTTGTGCCCTTGATTATAGTCATTAAAAGTTATCAAGTCACATTATTATCCATTACTTTTCAGAAATAATATTAGTGCAGATTTTTCTTTTTTTATTTGTTGGTCATTATTTATAAAAAATATCATTATAACTAATTTTTATTATCTTTCCAATGAGCTAGTATTACATATAAAAAAACTTAAAAACAACTATTATATCTAAACATGTATTTTTAGCCGACTTTTTTTATTTTAAATATGCAATATTGGTACCAAAGATCATAAAAAGTTAAAAATTTGATATTTTTTCCCAAAAAGTTGGACGATAAATGTAAAGTTATGATGACACATAATCTCTTGGGAGAAACTCAGAGCCGCTGAAACACATCACAAAGCACAAAAACATCCAAAGAGAAGTACGAAGCACAATCATCCTACAAAGCAGCAGAAAATAAGAGTACACAATCAAGAAGAGGAACACAATCTAAAGTCTCTCTATTGCTCAGGCAGGGGTGGGGGTGACGATATCCTGCAAAAAAGCTAGCTACTTCAACTAGGCTCTCTAGTGTTGTTAGGTCAGTAGTCATATCGGCGTGCATGCAGTTAAAAGGTCCTCTTGCCAC